TCATTCTTCGCATGCTCACTAGATGTAGTTTCAGTAAATTAAAATAACTAGTTTTTTTATTTTTTTTATTTTTTTTTTTATTTTTTTTTTATTTGGTGTGTGTAATTACGGACAACCTCCCAGATAATAGGTGCTGTTGTTTATAACTTTTTGTCAGATGAGGCTTGATTCTGTTATTAACTCTTTTGTCGGCATATATTCAGGCTAGACGAACGCTGCTTATGCGTCATGAAGCTGAGATTAAATCAAACACGTATTGGCTAGGATTGATGGCCCACTTGCAAGCTACATCTGTTCCAAGCAAGGTTAGCATGTGGAGTCATCTCCTATTTCATCAACTTTTTGAAACTAAAGCATATTTGTTGTATATAGTGTTCATTATCATGACTTCATAGTAATGGATAACTGCTATGGCGTTCGGTTTTGTGAATTACAAAATGTTAGGAATAAAGGATCAATAAAAAGAGAAGTGTAAGCTTCTCAAAGAAGTACTAGGCTTTTTTATACATATCACTTGGCCAAATGAGAAATTGGTACTTTATATTACCTTAAAAATTTGGTGGGCGTCACCATTGTATAATTGATGACGCCAGCTAGTCTTGTCAGGTCAAGTGAGTTGAAACCAAATCTATTCTATAACACTCTTAAAAAAAAGTAGTTTCTTGAAACTTTTGAATTGCCAAGAATTTCTAAGGCTAATGTAATTTTTTAACGTTAAGAAGTTACAACTAACAATGTTTCATATTTGTTAAGTTTTAAACCTCCATTTTAAAATTTAAGTTTACTCATTATCTTTTAGTTTTTATACTTTATTAAATCTTTAATTTAGTAATTTTCAAATATCACATTGTTTACTATAGGGATTTTTGGTTAATAGTATTAAAACAATTAAAGAGGAACAATTTTTTGAACATGCATATGTTTAAGAATGATTGAATAAAAAACAATTCAAGATACAAATGTTAAAATTCTGTGGAAAAAAGTTATTTGTTAATGAAAAACACACAATCTTAATAGAAATATTTTGTTTAAATTATCACTAAAACAATATGCATAATATGAATATATGAGTTAAGTTTACCTGTATTGTATAAATGTTCTAACGGAAACTCAAAGATACTTTAATACGTCATCATTGAATCTCGCCCTCTTCGAGATATGAGGCTGACTGTTCTTGTTAACTCAGGATATCTCTTGTATCAAAGATCTGATTTCACTATACGAAGCTGCCACAGTTGAGGATGTATATACCGCGTATGAGCAGTTGCAGATTGACGAAAATTCATTGTACTCTTGCATTGGAATTGTTGGGGCCCATGTCGGGGAATCTGTCGAAGGTAAAAAAAGAAATCTAATGCTAAAAATATTTTTTTTTTATTCTTTTGCAGGCATTAAATTTGGAGTTGTGTGCAATTTATTTCGTAAGGTTGATACTTAACATTGGTTTATTTCTAAATAAAATTTTGTTGTACAGCTTCCCTGATAGAGGAGGAATCAGTTGAGGGCCTCCACAATGTTATTCCCATTGGTCGGGGCTCATCTACTGTGACACGCCCAACTATGTGAAAGTTTGTTTTCAATAGCAGCACATTTTTGCGTAGTTGTTGAAGTACACGGTGCATGCATGTCTTAGGTTGTTAGGTCCTTCGCTTTTAGGTAATTATATCCAGGATTTGTTTTTTGTATTCAATCTTGTGTCTGTTTTTTACTGCTACAGGTCAAAACTACTCGGCACACCAAAGGTTCGAGATACTTACATCAGATATCTTGCATACTAATGTAGGTCTATAGGTGAACAAGGGATCCAGAAGCTTCTCAATTGATTTGATAGGACCCCGTTGAGGCGTGCTCTGGCGAAATAAATAATATTAGCCGACAGCGGCCAAGTTTTATAAAAGATGCCATGGTTGATCCTAAAGCTTTCTGGAATACATAGTCTTCAATCTGTTTGGTTCAAATAATAGCAAACTCGAAAACTCACTTCATGATGAATCCATCTTGATATCTGTATTTGGATTTTTAGGTTATATTTTTGTTCTTTTTTTCTTATGTTTGAGGGATATGATGTTGTCCTTGTAGATTTATTATTGTTGAGAAAGCACAATTAAATGAAGAATTCGTTTTTCCCCTTAAATTTGTATTGGTAGTTTTGCAATAAATAATTATGTGAAATAATATTTATTCTTTCGAGTTTAATGTGTTTGATGAATATCGTGTATTGAGACTCGATTTTGTGTAAGAACCCGCGCTAACACACGATAAAATGTGTAAACTTGCATCGACAACCTTGGTCAACACATTAATAAGTGAAACTGCACCATCGGCCTTTGTTTTTCATTAAGAAATGACTGAGCTTCTTTCTTAATTTTAGTTACTTTTAACTTGATTCTCAAACATACATACAAATGTTTTATTTATAATACTACTATAACATCATTCAAATTTTAATATTTAAACTTATATAACTAATCTTAACCAACACATTTAAAATTTAAAAATAAACTAGCGCAATTATTACTGACATCATCCATGCGATCCAATTTCCACTCGAAAGTCCAGTTCGCATCAGTGTTAGAACAACTCGTTGGCTTTGCTGAGCACTGAATCACTATTGGAATTTCAATCACTATTGCTGAGCACTGAATCATTAAATTATTCACTAAAACAATATACATAATATTGTTGATTCTATCACGGGTGTTTGATTTGATGTACTGTTTATTATGCTACTCTTATTTCTCTTTCTTTTGTTGGTCATTTTTGTTTTTTCTTTTGTTTGTGAGACCTGGTTGGTCATGTAGGAGAGCTGTGGTAGTGTCCTTTGTTAGATTCATTGGATAGGGTCATGTGCATCTGAGGATCTTATATATAACCCGTTGGTTATACGGATGTACATTTTGAGTTATATATAAGATTTGATGTTTGGAAAAAAAAAAAGAACTATAGAGTTCAAATTTATTTTATTGAAGGTTTAAATGGATTGTAGACTATAAAGAAAAATATTGCGTAACCTGTTGGGAATATAGCCTCCTTGTATAATTACAAGGGTAAGGTCTGCGTACAACTGACCCCCCAGACCCCAACCTGTTGGGAATATACTGGGTATGTTGATGTTGAATCTATTTTTTTGTGTTGTAAAATGAAGTTTTCAATTATTTAGGATGCATTTACTCAATGAAATAGTACAATAAATTTATTCATTTAAAATAGACTTGTGTCATGGGGAATTTTTTTCGTCAATTGATCCAAATATTCGAAAAATAAATATGAAACGGAAGTTTGAAAATACATCTCGATAGAGAAATAGCAACCGAAGTGTAAGTAAACATTACACAGAAAAATAAAAATAAAAATAAAGGAAACCCACAATATGATGTAACCATAAAAGTATCTAAGTTTACCTCAGATTGAAGCTCGCGTACTCCTCTGGCAAAATCTATGCTGGAAACAAGGAATCATCGTGACCTCTTTGAATAAAGAGTTGCAAAGAAGACAATTCATTTGTACTGGCAAATTGGTGCATTACAAAGCCGGAAAATTGGAATCATGAGAGTTTTTAACAATCATAAAATCTTCCTCCCAATCGCCGGGGCCGCAGCAATCTCAACAGCAATCATCCTCCACACAAACATCACAACAACAACCTCAACCTCCGAAACAGCCGCCGCCCCCCGAGAAGCAGCAGCAACAACAGCCGCCCTCACAAAAGCAACAACAACCGCCGCCCTCACAAAAGCAGCAACAACAACCACCTCCCCCCGAGAAGCGGCAACAACAACAGCAACAACAACAACAACATAAATCTTCCTCCCAATCGACCACCAAATCTTCAAACTCTTCGAGGGCCGTCGAGCATCATTCCAAGGGCGATGATCGTCAGAAAACCATCGACCATCATCAAAAAACAGACGACCGCTCCCAGAGAAAAGGTCCTCGAGCTCCCAATCCCAAGGACCCTAAAAACCAAATTGCCGATAAATCCTCCGAACCCCACACCTCCTCTAAGACAAAAATCCCCGACAAATTGCCCCTTGTCCAACAGCCTTCCAAAACCACTCTCGTCGTATCGACCAAAACTCTGGTCGAATCCGGCAAGGGTGATGACGGGGGGCGTGAGTCAGCTTTGGGCAAGCGCTCTCGAACTGAGCAGGGCGAAATTGTTGCCAAGCGGGGGCGTGCGAGCTATTTTTCCTCTGATCCACTGGCCCCGAAATCGACATCGCTCTTGTCGGCTCCTGTTAACGAGGTGGCCGACCGCCTCGAGGGCGCCCTTCTCGAGGATGATCACAAACGAGCCCACCCCACGTTGCCCGAGGTTGGCGATAAGCTCGTGCAGTGGTTTGCTCAGGTATTACTCCTTTAGCTCTTCATTGACTCTTTTCTATTTCCTTTGTCGATACATATGTCGAATTACTTCATCTTCTTTGTTGACAGGGCCTGGTTGACTTTTTGCCTCTGGCCAAGGAATCTCGGGACAGCTCAGGCAAGTCGATCAAGGGCCTTGAGAATACCGTCTGCTACTGGCAAGACAAGCATTCGACCCTTTTGAATCACAACGCCAAACTCCGCGAGACGCATGCTGAGCAGAAAACTGAGCTCGAAGTCAAGGTTAAGTCCCTTGATGAAGAGCTTAGTAATAAAGGGAAAGCTCTCGCGGAGAGAGATGCTGCTCTCGCAGCTAAGGAGGCTGCAATGGCGGAGAAGGAGGCCGCCATGAAGGGAAAGGAGGCCCTGCTCGAGCAAGAGCGGGCTGCTCGAGCCGAGGCAGAGAAGGCTCGACTTGATGCGGAGAAGGCTCGAGCAGAGGCAGAAAAGGCTCGGGCTGAAGCAGAGAAGGCTCGAGCCGAGATAGAGGCCACCTTGGCCAAAGAAAGGGCTGCCCATGCTGAAGATAGGCAAAGATATGCAAATGCCACTGCCGAGCTCGGCAGATGCTTTGGGCAACGACCACTGGGCAGCTCTTCCTTCGCGAACACCGTGCGCAAGTGGTGGCTGACTTCATGCAGTCACCACAATACTTAAAAGAGTTGCAAGATTTCGGGGTAGACTGGTTTCAGTTTGCCCTGCAAAAGACCGGGGAGCAAATTGCTGAAGATGATTTCAAGCAGCTCGACCCCTTGGCTATTTGGGATGCTTTGCCCAAGGTGCCCTCGAGCTTCCACGGGGACCCTTCCTTGCCAGCCGAGCATGAATGGTGGTCCGGTCAGCTCGGAAGAACCTTAGGCCGATCGGAAATTCTAAAGAAGATCTTCGCTCTGCCCGATGATACTACTCCTCCCACTGCCATGTTGGTCGCAATGCTGAATCTATCCGACATCGCCCTCTCAATGAAGCCTGCGATTCGACCTCTGGCACCGGCCTTCAGCTCGACCCTAATGCCAGCTCGAGCTACGCGGACTCCGCCGCCGCCGCTCCTCCGCCATAAATTAGTGTTGTATTTTTTGTTTTGTTTTTCTTGAATCGAACTATGTACTTTAATGGATTTTGTAATGTTCTTGGAATGGAAATGTTTCTGCTTTCAGTTTGTCTTTTCCTTTATAATGCTTGTGGGCAATTAGGCTTTGTGTTCTCGTTATAACTCTTCGATTTTAATGACTAAAGCAATCTTCAAAGCAGGATCGATGTGGACTTTAATATATGATCAACAGGCTTTCGCTGGTCGACCTATTCTTCATTTATCGAATCAATGTTTTGTGCTTTTGCCTTATGACCACTTAAATACTTCACTCTTTAACACGTGTGTATATACACATGCCCACCCCTGGAGGTGGTCGAAACATGCGACCATCCAGCCTCGTGGCCTTACACATGATGGCTTTAAAATTTTGAACACATGCCCCCCCTGGAGATGGTCGAAGCATGCGACCATCCAGCCTCGTGGCCTTAAACATGATGGGTTTTCTGCACCTTTGGACTTCTCTTCTCTACTCATGTTTTCATGTTCGTTCTTCGCTTGTGGAGTTGCGTCCACTCTAGTGCTCCTGCCTTCATACCTTCCCACTCGGTAATGCGGTCTTCATTTACTCTTCACACTTGCCCACCTCGAGGGGTGTTCTAAGCAAGCGACCACCCAGCCCGAGGGCCTTATTCATGGTGGGTTTTGGTCTTCACACTTGCCCACCCCTGGAATGTTCTAAACAGGAGGTCTTCGACCAACCTGC